ACATACTGCCATGCTCTATAACTTGAGTTTTACCTATTACTTAACATTAAAAAATGGCCAACATTTAAGTGCCCCTGAAAGACAGTTCAGCATTGACATTAGGCGTGACCCGAACCGCTGAGCCTCCGCAGGATGTGGATGATGGGCAGTTGGCTCGGTGCACTCATTGGCTGAGCAACGCTTTCATCAGTCATTGCACCGCCCACAATGAGGGGATTCCGCCTCACACCTGAGCAGAATCACTAGTGACTGTATGTATTTCGTGGACTTGAAGGCTCCATGTCTAATTGGCAAAACCTTAAGTATAAAATCCCGACCAGAGGTCGCCTTTATTTCCTGCTTTCTCTCTGCCTTTCACAGATGCTCTAAAGGGAGCAGAGATCAGAATTGTGAAGCCCCATGAGCATCTTACACTTAAGAGTGGTGACCTGGATTAGTTGGGTGTGTTTCTTGTTTGAGTAGAGAATGAGGTACTAACCTTCTTGTCCTCTCCCAGTTTGCCATTTTCAGCAGAAGATTCTGCCCACATACAAGACCATTACACACTCCTGGAACGTCAGATCATTATCGAGGTTAGAATCCTTTTCTCTATTCTTTCTGCTTCAGTGCCAAAGCTGTGTGCCATTCAGCAGCTAGGAGACTTCCGCTCTGCCCACATATGTCGTTTCCGGTTAACCTTTCTAAGAGTCTTTCATTTTCTTTCTCTGCCTGGTGGCCTTCCCTCCATTGTCTCCAGGCATCTTTTCTTTTCTCACTTGCTTTTAACCTGGAGCTATTTCCTCTTCATCCCAGAGCTCTGTTTCATCACTACTTCTCTGGTCTTCCTCCATCCAACTTAGATCATCATTTTCTGGATCTTAAGCTCCTCAGGGCTCTCCTAGGCAGTTTCTTTCTTTTTCTCCTCTTCACCTCTTTCCTAGGGTAGGAAAGACATCCGCTTTAGTGTTACAGGCTTCTCTCCTGCCTGCACTCCGCAGACACTGTTTTTTTTTTTTTTTCTTGGCTCACTCCACCACAGGCAAACGATCGGCATCTAGAATCAGCGGGACAGACTGAGGTCTTCCGGAAGCACCCCCGCAAAGCGTCCATCCTCAATATGCCGTTGGTGACGACGCTCTTCTACTCCTGCTTCTACCACTACACGGAGGCTGAGGTGCGGGCCACACGGGGGAGAAAGGCCCACGTGTTCTCACTGCACAGGGGCGTCCTTCAGAGCCTGTTCCAGCGTGTTCTGTTGACAGGGGGTGCACATCATTCTTGGCAGTCCACCTGGGAAGCGTTCACAGGGGAAGAGAGGCCTGGAAGGGTTCGTGTGGCTTCCAGTGAGCAGGCCGGCCCCAGAACGCATCTGCCGGACCAGTGCTGCTGCTGTGAGCGGCTCTGCTCAGAGGCCCAGAGCTTCACATGGATTCCCACAGGCTAGAGCAGAGCAGCAGAGGGTAGTTACCTGTGCATACTTAAACAAGTTGTTTTGAAGAGGTGCGACCTTAATGACCCATTGGTGGACACGATCGTAACAATCATAGGATTAGCAAAAAATTGGGAAATACTTTATACCTGTTAATCTAGTGCTCTTAAGCTGGATGGTGATGTTCAGTTAGACCTGATAGAGCTTTCCTCTTAAATTAATTTCCAGGTTTAAATGGTTACAGAGTGAAATGTAGAAAGTCCAGCTAGTGGACGGGAAAATAGGAGATTGATGGTATTTGAAAGAGTCAGTAACACCAAGATTCCTTCTCCACTTTCATCCTAGGGGACGTTCAGCAGCCCGGTCAACCTGAAGAAGACATTTAAGGTATATAGACATTTGGCAGTGTTTAGTAAAAGTAGTATCAGAATCACTCTATGGAGTGGATGTTGCTCTGTAACCCTGCGCAGTAAGTCCCATGACATTCAAGGGTCAGGGAGAATGGAGTGAATCTGTGGGAAGTGAGGGAAGGCCTTAACTGAATGGCCTGCAGCAGTGCCNGTTCCTTGACTTTTCTGAAACTCTCATCTCTCTTCCTTTCTCTTTCCCCTACCTCCCATTCATCCACTCTCGCTACCGTGTTATGCTAGTCCTACCACAAAATGTAGAGAGACTAGCTCAGCGTGTATTGAATTTGTCTGACCTGCCCACGGCCACCCCCTCTTTTTCAGAACTGGCTGGGCTACACCAAGAAGAGAGCACCCATTGGCTTCCATCGGGTTGTGGAAATTTTGCACAGGAACAATGCCCCTGTTCAGGTAATGGCTCCCAGAGAGAGTTGGGTACAAGGTCTTCTAGGAGACCTGACTTTCAGCCTCTTACTGCTTGGCAACGGGAGACTTGACCTGCTCTGGTCTTATCCTAAAGGCGACATAATGGTTGTACTGCGCTTTGACCTAGAAAAGGCCAGGGAAGAAAGTTCTGCTCAGCCTTTAGAAGTATGATCCCACACCACCTCCTCTGAGCAGCATCTTCTGTGTTCAGCCAGAGGGAGGCATACTACTCAAATGATACAGGAGAACTTAATGAAAAAGGCCATCAAAGAGCAGGGGGCGCAGCGTGGGGTCAAACCCAGGGCACACCTATTGCTGGCACAGGGGTCTGGCTCCAAGATGAGGAGGATGAGCCCTTCTCTTCCTTTTCAGGAGAACGTGGATTACTGCAGAAAGTCCACCTCATTGCCATTGCAGACCTAGTCCTGTGGTTCATGATGGGAATTGTAGACAGCAGGCACTGACTCTCTGCCTTCTTCAGGATTTTTTCACTACCTTTCAGAACTCTGGGTTTAATATGGCTGGGAATCACTAATCAGAAGTACTTGTTTTCACAGATATTACAGGAGTATGTCAATCTGGTGGAAGATGTGGACACAAAGTTGAACTTAGCCACCAAGTTCAAGTGTCATGATGTCGTCATCGATGTGAGTCCCTCAGAAATGAGAGCCCTGAGTGAGAGCTCAGTGGGCAGTGGGAGGCTTCAGCCTCAGGGCCTAGATCCTGAGGTGCTAATGTCAGTCTCCACTCAGTGCAGTGTGGTCTGGCAAGAGTTAGTTTGGAGACCAGCTCTCCTGTACGATTTGCCCAGTTCTCTGACTGGGTTCTCTCTGGTTTTGTAAATTCGTTGCACTCGGAGAGTTCATAGAACTAAATCAAGCCATGTAACCTCTGCAGACGTCTCTTCGGTGTGAAGTTTGGTGGGTGCTTAGCCCCACTGTCATCCCAGCGCAGCTCCCTGGCTTCTCTCGGATCCTTGGCTCAGTGGGAGAGGCAGAAGGAAAGAGGCCCTTCTAGAGAAGGCTGACCAGGGGTTTTATTGTCGTCTCTCTTGGTGATAGACTTGCCGGGACCTGAAGGATCGTCAGCAGTTGCTCGCGTACAGGAGCAAGGTGGACAAAGGCTCTGCCGAGGAGGAGAAGATCGATGCCCTTCTCAACAGCTCGGTGAGTGGCTGCGGCTTGCCCTCCAGCGGGCTCGGGAAACAGTTCTCAGAGGAGCGTCAAGCATATATTCCCAAGGCCTGAGTGGGATTGCTATCGGCCAAGCCTGTGTGGATCTCTTGATAAGGGTCTCCTCTGGGCCTACAGGAGGGCAGTTACTCCTGAGACGTAGGATGACTTGGGGTGGTCTGGGGACCTTGGCTGGCACTGGTTGTAGTGCTCCGATCTTTGTTAAACTTACCAGGTAGGAAGGACTAACCACTGGAAGTTAGAAACAAACGTTAAAGAATCAGAATGTTCAAACTGTAGAGTTTCCTGGGGCTGGATGTGACCTCCCTATTGGAAGAAAGAAGTAGGTGAAGTAGATTTTAGCTACTTTTTTTTTCAATTAATTTATTTTAATTGGAGGATAATTACTTTATAATGTTGTGATGGTTTTTGTTTTTGCCGTATATCAGCATGAATCGGCCACAGGTATACGTGTGTCCCCTGATTTTTAGCTACTTGGGGAACACAGCTGCCTCCTCTTTCATAGCATGAATTGCTGAGCTTATTGTTAACGTGGAGCTTTGGTCCCACTTAGGTATTTTGGAATCTACCACAGGCTAAAGCTAGTGAATCTTTGAATCTTTGTCCTGAGGAGGGCAGAAACAGAATAAATGCCCTAAATCAGGCTTACAAAATAGGTACAGAATAGGTGTTTAATCCATCTCTGAATAAATGAACTCCTCTCCCCCACGTTAAATTTTCTTTTCTCAGCCTTCTGGCTCCATCCTTCTTTTCCTTACATTACCTACCTGGAATCCTTGTCTTTTTGAATTCTGTCTGCCTATCTGTCGGGATCTGTGAAAACTGACTATTGTTTGTTTTTTCCCCCAGCAAATTCGATGGAAGAATTAAGTGGCATCAGCTCCCTGGCACCCAGCCTCATTTCTTCCTTTCCTGCCTGTGAAAGTCGAGAGCGCTCTTTTTGGGAGAGTTACAGCATCACATCACTGGGGCCCGTCATCAGCAGGCAGTGCCTGCTACCCGTGGGACAGAGACCAGCCTGGGCACTGACAGCCTCAGATGGGTCTTCTGTCCAGGGACTGTCACCGAAGGGCCAAGATCTAAAGCTTTGCCTCATGAGAGAGACTCTTCACCTGGTGCTCACGTGAAGGTGGGAATTAATTTCTAGGTTGGGCCCATATTGGGCAAGATGGCTCTTGGTCCTCAGAAAGTGACTGCTCCAGAAAGAAGGTCTCCTGGACCGAGAGGTGCAGGTGTCGTCGGGCGGCCGCTCCACTCCCTTCTGCTAACTGCTCGGACCTGGTGCTGGACCCTGGCATCTGCTCGGCAGGAGGTCAGCACACAACCAGAATGGCTGTCTCCCCGGGGGGCCTCAGGAAGGACCGCCCACCTTGCTGGGACCTGTTGGAGGCGCCCTCACCCCGGACTGTACAGAGTCCACCACTTCACGGCAGAGCCGGCCCACCCCCCTCTGCTGCCCTGGTCTCCCCTTTACAGACAAGCTGTGGTTCCTCTCCGCCTGCACCCCGGGGAGCCTGGTGCGGGAGATGAGGGCACCCTGCTTCCCGTTCCTCCTCCCACCCAGGCCCCCACCTTCCGTGAGTCAGCGGGGCTGGGGTGAGCGCTCCCTTTCTGCACACACGTTCTCGTCTCACTCGGAGCTTCCACAGGTTTCACCAGGGCTGACCTCGGCAGCATTCCTGGTAGGCTAGCAAGAGGGCGGTTTGGTCTCGAAGTTGGTTTTCGAGAGGATATTCTGTAATGCCTGCGTCCTGTATTCCTGTGCCAACGTGAGCCATTTTTCTCTGTGACTGACCTGGGTTTCCCAGACACGCCTGGACGCCTAATAAAGCCGTTTCTTCCTTGGTGCTGTCTCCTTCCCTCCCGGTTATTTTATGCAGAGCCGTGAAATCATTGCCCCAACTCTAGGGACCGCTACAACCCTGCCTGGGTGACTGCATGTATCGGCCTGTCAGCACCTTGGGTTGTGGAGTAACAGTGCTTATAGCAAAGTAGGGCCATGTGCTTGACAGGGAACGCAGCTCCCGGCTAAAGACCCGGCCTCTTGTCCCAGCTCTGCCACTGACAGGCTGTGTGGTGCTGGGCGAGTCCCTTTCTTTCCGGCCTCATTGTCTTCATCTGGGAGAGGGAGGCACAAATCTCTCAGGGCTTGTGGAGGTCTGCACTCCTGTGACTGCGGGAGTGGGGGAAGTGATAGGGGTACAGAGACAGCAGGCTTTCAGGGAACGTGGTGCTCCTCTGGGGGCAGTTTGGCCCCCCAGGAGACGTGTGTCCGTATCTGGAGACACTTCTTGCTGCCACAACTGGAGGGAGCCACTGGCGTCTAGTGGATAGAGGCCAGGGATGCCACTGAGGAGCCTGCGGGGCACAAGCGGCTCCTTACGGCACAGAATTAACCTGCCCTTGAAGGCAGTAGTGCCGATGAGGAGGAAGCCTGCTCTCGGGATCAGACCCCATCTTTGGCCCCTCAGCTTTGCATCTGCTCCTTCACTTTGCGTTTCCAGGTAACCTCATGTTTGGTGCCCTTCCTGATCAACCCTCTTTTTAAAAAATTTTTATTTATTTCTTGTTTTTAGCTGTGCTGGGTCTTTGTTGCTGCAAGTGGGCTTTCTCTAGTAGTGGCAAGCGGGAGCTATTCTAGTTGTGCATGAACTTCTCATGGCGGTAGCTTCTCCTTGTTGCAGAGCACAGGCTCTAGGGCATGTAGTTGTGGTGCATCGGCTTAGTTGCCCCGTGGTATGTGGGATCTTCCCAGGCCAGGGGATGAACCCGTGTCCCCCTGCAATGGCTGGTGGATTCTTAACCACTGGACCACCAGAGAAGTCCCCCAACCCTCTTGCTGTTGAAGAAAGTGAAGCAAAAGTGAAAGTTACTCAGTCGTGTCCAATTCTTTGCGACCCCGTGGAATTCTCCAGGCCAGAGTACTGGAGTGGGTAGCCTTTCCTTTCTCCAGTGGATCTTCCAGACCTGAGAATGGAACTGGGGTCTCCTGCATTGCAGGCAAATCCTTTACCAACTGAGCTCTCAGGGAAGCCCTGCTGTTGAAGAAATGGAAGTTTAATTTGCTAAATTGTGCTGAAAGGAATTTCCTGGCAGTCCAGTGGTTAGGAATCCACACTTTCTGTGCCAAGATCCCAGGTTCAATACTTGGTTGGGGAACAAAGATCCCGCAGGCTGTGAGGTGCAGCTAACAACAGCAGCCAAAATCATGCTGAAGTTACTGGCTGATCTTCGAATAGACGCTGGTAACTTAACTAGCATATGAGGATTCATTCAGAGAGACAGAACCACTAGGAGTATATAGTCCACCGTCTGTCTGTCTAATCTCCACGTGGAATTCATTACAGGGTCTTGACCTTGCTCAAGTAATGGCAGCTGGTTAAAGAGTCTGAAAGGTTGTCTTCCTGTCTGGTGTTAGAGCTAGACATCCGAAGGGCAGGTGGTGGGGAAGGGAAGGTGGATAAAAAGTGAGGGAGGAGGAGCCAGAGCTCACACATGGACGGGAACCCCTGCCGGTTCTCACCCCCTCCAACCTGATGAAGTGGGTGACCGGCAGGGGCAATTTGCTGGTAGCCTTTGTCATGCAGCTGAACACACATGTGGCCCAGGAGTGTGAGAAGCTGCAGGAGGATCTGGGGAAGGTATAGCAGTCGTCAGCTCAACCGCTGCCCTCAGACAGCGAAAGTGCCACCCCCAAACTCGTCCACCTCCAGTCCTGCAGGGAAAGCTCTGTGGCGGCACATGCTCGCTGGAAACAGACAGGGAGAAGGATGCCGGAAAATGTAGTTCTGCCTAGCCACCTGCGTGTGTTACAAAGCCACAACCAGCTGATCCCCATTTTCAAGAACATGTAAGTAAAGGATGGATCTGGAATCCAATGCCGGTACAAGTCAACCTATACCTCGTTGTGCTGAGCTGGGACGTTTTGAGCTTCTCTTTCCTTTGGATCAGGAAACATCACTTACAACTCCAGGGGATGAACCCGTGTCCCCCTGCAATGGCTGGTGGATTCTTAACCACTGGACCACCAGAGAAGTCCCCCAACCCTCTTGCTGTTGAAGAAAGTGAAGCAAAAGTGAAAGTTACTCAGTCGTGTCCAATTCTTTGCGACCCCGTGGAATTCTCCAGGCCAGAGTACTGGAGTGGGTAGCCTTTCCTTTCTCCAGTGGATCTTCCAGACCTGAGAATGGAACTGGGGTCTCCTGCATTGCAGGCAAATCCTTTACCAACTGAGCTCTCAGGGAAGCCCTGCTGTTGAAGAAATGGAAGTTTAATTTGCTAAATTGTGCTGAAAGGAATTTCCTGGCAGTCCAGTGGTTAGGAATCCACACTTTCTGTGCCAAGATCCCAGGTTCAATACTTGGTTGGGGAACAAAGATCCCGCAGGCTGTGAGGTGCAGCTAACAACAGCAGCCAAAATCATGCTGAAGTTACTGGCTGATCTTCGAATAGACGCTGGTAACTTAACTAGCATATGAGGATTCATTCAGAGAGACAGAACCACTAGGAGTATATAGTCCACCGTCTGTCTGTCTAATCTCCACGTGGAATTCATTACAGGGTCTTGACCTTGCTCAAGTAATGGCAGCTGGTTAAAGAGTCTGAAAGGTTGTCTTCCTGTCTGGTGTTAGAGCTAGACATCCGAAGGGCAGGTGGTGGGGAAGGGAAGGTGGATAAAAAGTGAGGGAGGAGGAGCCAGAGCTCACACATGGACGGGAACCCCTGCCGGTTCTCACCCCCTCCAACCTGATGAAGTGGGTGACCTGCAGGGGCAATTTGCTGGTGGCCTTTGTCATGCAGCTGAACACACATGTGGCCCAGGAGTGTGAGAAGCTGCAGGAGGATCTGGGGAAGGTATAGCAGTTGTCAGCTCAACCGCTGCCCTCAGACAGCGAAAGTGCCACCCCCAAACTCCAGTCCTGCAGGGAAAGCTCTCTGGCGGCACATGCTCGCTGGAAACAGACAGGGAGAAGGATGCCGGAAAATGTAGTTCTGCCTAGCCACCTGCGTGTGTTACAAAGCCACAACCAGCTGATCCCCATTTTCAAGAACATGTAAGTAAAGGATGGATCTGGAATCCAATGCCGGTACAAGTCAACCTATACCTCGTTGTGCTGAGCTGGGACGTTTTGAGCTTCTCTTTCCTTTGGATCAGGAAACATCACTTACAACTTTCGAGTGGCTCACCCAATGTTATGGGCTTTTCTGGTGGCTCAGCGGTAAAGAATCTGCCAGCAAGGTAGGAGCCGCAGGAGATGTGGGTTTGAACCCTGGGTCGGGGAAGATCCAGTGGAGGAGGGCATGGCAACCCACTCCAGTATTCTTGCCTGGAGAATCCTATGGACAGAGGAGTTTGGTGGGCTACAGTCCATGGGGTTGCAAAGAGTCAGACACAGTTGAAACGACTTAGCCTGCACCACAACCCACAGTTACGGTCTAAGGAAGGGTTTCTTAGACTTGAGACCTTGTTTGCTCTTCACCTCAAGTGCTGGAGACTTTGCTTTTAAAGAGATCGAGAGCAAAGTGACCTAAGAGCCCTCCTATAAAAGGGATCAGAGAAGCCAGATACTAAAGGTTGCATTTTTTATGATTCCATTCATGTGAAATCAAGCCTGAATATTCATTGGGAGGGCTGGTGCTGAAGCTGAAGCTCCAATACTTTGACCTCCTGATGTGAAGAGCTGGCTTACTGGAAAAGACCCTGATGCTGGGAAAGATTGAAGGCAAGAGGAGACAGGGGCGACAGAGGATGAGATGGTTGGGTGGCATCACCGACTCAATGGACGTGAGTTTAAACGAGCAAACTCCGGGAGATGGTGAAGGACAGGGAAGCCTGGCGTGCTGCAGTCCCTGGGGTTGCAAAGAGTCAGACATAACTTAGCGACTGCACAACATCCACTGTTGATGGGAAATAGCCAGGAAAGGTAATTCCATAGAGACAAGAGACAGATGTGTTGTTGCCTAGGGCTTTGGGGGTGGGTGGGTGTGTGGGGGAAATGGGGGGTGACTGCTTCACAAGTCACGCTTCCTTTGGAGGGGGATGAGGATGTCTTGGAACTAGAGGTAGTGGGTGAGCAACACCGAATATATCAAATTGTTCATTTTTTTTTCTTTTTTAAAAAAACTATTTATTAACTTATTTTTCCTTGTGCTGGGTCTTCATTGCTGTGGGCCACTCTTTGTTGTGGTGCAAGGGTTTCCTATTGCTGCAATTTCTTTAATTGCTGGGCTCGGACTGTAGGTGAACAGGCTTCATTAGTTGCAGCTCGCGAGTTCAGTAGTTGCAGCTCACGGGCTAGTTGTTCCTGGCATATGGAGTCTTCCTGAATCAGGGCTTGAATCTGTGACCCATGCATTGGCAGGCAGATTTCTGTTCACTGTACTACCAGGGAAGTGCGGTATGGAATCTCTTTTGAGGAGAACATTAACAGGACCGACACTGCTCTGTAAAGAATGGCCTTTAAGAGGAGTTCTTCGCTCAGGAAAAGCAATGAGCCTCGTTTCAAGGAGCCCAGGGCTCAGTGAAGGCTCAGCTACTTTGGTGATGTCGAATCTCTAGCTTCCAAGGATGCTATTTTACTGAAAGAGCCAGCTCCTGACCAGGAGCACCCCACCTGCGCAGGTAACCCGGGCTGAGGAGAGCCAGGAGGCGGAGTGGGTTCGGAGCATGTCTGGCCCTTTGTTCTGCGCCGGTGCGTGTGTCCGGGTACATGAGCTCTTTAGCCGCCCGACCGGCTGCGGGGTCACCGAAGTGTGTGTGGGAGCACCGGTCCTGCCTGCCCTTCTTCACTCCCAGGGTGTTCGCTCTCCTCGGTCCTCCCTTGAATTGTTCACTTATGAATGGCTGTTTTGTGAATTTCACCGCAATAAAATTTTCTCACGGTTATCATTTGTGTGTGTGTGGTGAGAACACTTAAGATCTACTCTTGGCAAATTTAAAGTAGACAGTGCTGTGTTGTTACCTATAGTCACCATGATGTACATCAGATCCCCAGAATTTATTTTATCTATTGTTTATCATTTTATTTATTATTTACACATTGATTTCTTGAACACAAAAAGGAGGGGCTTGAAAAGTTAACTCCTGAGTAGTGCTAAGATTTGAATGATATTGGAGTATGCAAAAAGAAAAACATCTAGAAGTCCAGAACCTTCTGTTGGGATAAGAAGGATCCCAGACTGCCCTGGTGTAGTACTCTGAAAGTATCGAAGGAATTCATGCCCTTATGGGGTAGGTCTGGAAAACCTCTAGGTGGGGCTGGCCCCTTTAAGGCTCCAAGACTGAAGTAACCTGGTAGCTAAGGAGTCATAATGACAACTTTCATGGGTAATCCTCCCTGAAAATGTAGTTCTTACTTTCCAGGATGAGACGTACTGAGGATCAGAACCACCTTTTCCTCAGTTTGGTTGGTGAGAGATACACATAGAAGGGCTGATACATCTCTGGCTTCATTTTCTAAAATCTAGATATCCCTGCTCTAGACAGAGGATCGTGGTATTTAGTCTAGGTTCTTTTCTACCCTGTGGAAAAAGAGAGTTTGGGGAAAGGGGTGAATTTCTGTGAAATGTGGTCTAAGTGTCCAGTCCTATTTCTAAGAGAATAGAAGGGAAAAACATCCTGGCCCAAGTGTGCCTGTGAAACCCATTGCTCGTGGAAATACAGGTGCTGAAAAATGTGCCCGGAACCTACGTGGATCTTGTCCAGGTTTTTCATGAATCCAGTATTCCTGATTCATGGGTGTAGGCTCAGTAGTCACTCGGTCGTGTCCAACTCTTCATGAGCCCATGGGCTGTAGCCCACCAGACTTCTCTGTTCATGAGGTTTTCCTGGCAAGAATACTGGAGTGGGTTGCCATTTCCTCCTCCAGGGGATCTTCCCAACCCAGGGATTGAACCTGCGTCTCCTGGATCTCCTGCATTGCAGGCCGATTCTTTACTGCTGAGCCACCAAGAAAGCCAGATTCATGGGTAGTCAGTGCTTAGGAATACTGTAGGACTCACACTCAGAGAAATGGATGGGAGCTGCCAGTTTGGAACTGAGAGGGGAGGTGCTGAAACCACCATCAGGAGAACCAGCGACTTGGGCACATGCCCCGCTCCTTCTTGGGGGACAGGGGGTTGAAATGATTGGCATCTGTCACTGCAGTAGATGCTGGCTTGGAGATGGACCTGCTAGAGGATCTTGAGACCCTGAAGTTTGAGTCCGGGATTCATGAGGAAGACCACAGCTGGCTGTATTTGCTGGGCCGTTCTCATGGCCTGATGATCAAGGCCTGTGCCCACGCAACCTTCTTCTGCAAGCTACTCCATAATTTGAGGTACGCTGGGTCTCTAGGTTCAGGTAGATAGAGAAGAATCTCACCACAGAGAATCCAGATGACTTAAACTTTTTATATTGGAGAATAACTTTGGCAGGGGAAGTGTCTTCCTACCTTGTGTAAGCTACACTGAAGTACTCCTGGTCTGAAAGCACTGGGGAGATGCATACCAGAGTGCCTGGGCTGTGGTTATGTAAAGTGGCATGGGTTAATGGTGATTTCCTTTTGGTGAGTAGACTGATTAAGTCATCCATTCACCCATCCATCCATTCACTCTCTCATCAGGACAACCAGCTTGTCTTCCACAGCAACTAATGACTGGCCATTTCATTTCTCTTGGCTGAAAATGAGGGTCATTTCTTTTTTTTTTTCTTTTCGGGCTAACAGTGGAATGCCTCCTCACAAGAAAGCTTCCAGGGACTTTGGGGGTCCCTATGGCCAGATGGCTAGCCTGAAAACAGGAATACTGCTTTTCAAAGAAGCTCTCAGTCCAGTCCTGACTTCTTGACACTAGAATAAGAGGCATCACCGACTCAATGGACATGGGTTTGGATGAACTCTGGGAGTTGGTGATGGACAGGGAGGCCTGGCGTGCTGCAGTCCATGGGGTCGCAAAGAGTCGGACACGACTGAGCGACTAAACTGAACTGAACTGAAGAGCCGAGTACTTGGGACTAAGGCTCCTGGATTCTGTAACTCTAGGTCACTTGGAACATTTGTCGCCTCCCCAACCCCCACCCCTCAGTCTACTTCTCAGCTTACTTTCCTGACATTAGATTAACTCCCAGATGGGGGGCCCAGATCCCAATCAAGCGTATTAAGGGTACAGCACATACCTGAGGAGGCCGAGCACTCAGCAGTTTGCTGGCTGGCTGAGCGATAGGGAAGCGTACACGTGCGGGTCGCCCCCAAAGACGTGTGACCAGAAGCCACCCAGGGCCATTCTCAGGAGGCGGCGTCTATTTGGAAGGATCGGGCACAGTGGGAGAACGCTCTCCTCTCAGCCAAAAGAGAAGCCTCACACAGAATGTGGCTTGTCATGCTTAGATGGAAGCTCCGGAGTGAAGACTCCAGTTTCCACAGAAATACAGAACAACTGCAACTGAAGTGAAGGTGAAAGTCAGTCATGTCCGACTCTGCAAGCCCATGGACTACACAGTCCATGGAATTCTCTGGGCCAGAATCCTGGAGTGCGTAGCCTTTCCCTTCTCCAGGGGATCTTCCCAACCCAGGGATCGAACCCAGGTCTCCCGCATTGCAGACAGATTCTTTATCAGCTGAGCCACCAGGAAAGCCCAAGAATACTGGAGTGCGTAGTTTATCCCTTCTCCAGTGGATCTTCCTGACCCAGGAATCGAACCGGGGTCTTCTGCATTGCATGTGGATTCTTTACCAACTGAGCTACCAGGGAAGCCCCACAAATATCAGATCGTCCTATAACAGCATAAAATGATGCCTTATGTATTCAGGGGTCAGACTTTGTTCATCTTGGGCCAAGGAAACACATCCAGCGTTTGAATCTGTGAGTGAATCTCCAGAAAGAGTGGCCTCAAATCCTTGATCCTCCCTTTCTCAGGTCTGTTTCCCTTATAAACCATTTTCTTTGATAAATCATCACGTTGGAGAAAAAGCTAAGTTACGTGGTTTCCTGGGTGTGTGCAGAACTGAAATAGCAAACTAGGAGAGGAGGTGTATCGCGGGAGAGGGGTGCACTTGTCCTGGTGGAGATGGAAATGGACCGCTGTCCATGCAGGAAGCAGTGGACTGTGTTCCGGGATAAGGTATGATGGTGGCTGTTCCCAGTGACGGTCCTGCGACAAACAGTTAAACAGTCAGACCTTGCGTTTAAGATGTCAGGGAAATGCACAATACATGTAACCCAAAAAAAGTTCATTTAAGAAGGTTTTAAACAAGTTCTGATTTTTTGAAAGGAGTATGCTTTACTCTTTGGAAAATTCACTCAGGAGGAACATTTCATTCCATCCAGAGAAGCTGGGTCCTTGTTGTTGTTGTTTAGTCGCTAAGTCAAGTCCGACTCTTTGTGACCCCGTGGACTGTAGCCCACCAGGCTCCTCTGTCCATAGGATTTCCCAGGCAAGAATACTGGAGTGGGTTGCCATTTCCTTCCCCAGGGAATCTTCCCAACCCAGGGATCCAACCTGCGTCTCCTGCATTGGCACGTGGATTCTTTACCGATTAAGCCACCAGGGAAGCCTGAAGCTGGGTCAGTGACACATAGTTGGAATGCTTCTCTCTGAAGGACTTAAGGTGGCACAGCAGGCTGCATTTGAGGAAGTTAAAGCAGAGAACGTCAGAAATTGACAGTCACAAAGGGCTTAGGGAGTGCATGTCTTTTTTTAAAATTAATTTATTTAAATTGGAAGATAATTATTTTACAACATTATGGTGCTTTTTGCCATACATTAACATGAATCCACCACGGGTGCACATCCTGAATCCCCTCCCAGCTCCCTCCCCACCCCAGGCCTCTGGGTTGTCCCAGAGTACTGTCTTTGAGTGCCCTGCTTCATGCATCGCATTTGTACTGGTCATCTATTTTAACTATGGTAATATATATGTTTCAATGCTAGTCTCTCAAATCATCCCACCCTCGCCTTCTCCCACATAGTCCAAAAGTCTGTTCTTTACATCTGTGTCTCTTTTGCTACCTTGCACATAGGGTCATCGTTACCATCTTTCTAAATTCCATATATATTTATGTGTTAATATATTGTATCGGTGTTTCTCTTTCTGACTTACTTCACTCTGTATAATAGGCTCCAGTTTCACCCACCTCACTAAAACTGACTCAAACACATTCTTTCTCATAGCTGAGTAATATTCTATTGTGTATTTGTACCACAACTTTCTTATCCATTCATCTGCCGATGGGCATCTATGTTGCTTCCGTGTCCTAGCTATTGTAAACAGTGCTGCAATGAATGTTGGGGTCACTTGCCTCTTTAAAAACAGTGGTTAGATGCCACGAAGTAGGTGGCAATGCTTTAACCCTACGCATATTCTCAGGCCCAAGAGCCTCTTCCATCCTTGTCAAGGGGAGTGCTAACCTTCTCTCCTTTCATACAACACGCGTGCATGTCTTGATATTTGTGTGTGTCTGTGTTCATTCTCCAGAGAATCATTCTCCAGAAAATCAGTACCGGAGAAGCGAACGTCTAAATGTCACTTGACTGGGTTGTGTGAAGAAACTCAGGATGACGACGCATTAAAGGTGGGCATCATCGGAGGTGGCCACCTTGGGAAGCAACTGGCACGCACTCTGCTCCAGCTCGTCCCCATCCCTGCTGAGAATCTGCAGATCTCCACTCGGAGGCCAGAGACCCTGGGTGAGGAGCATGGGGCAGGCCGTTTGGAAAGGGCCCCTCGAAAGAAGAATCCTTACACGCAGCCGACTGAGTTCTCAACTTGCTAGCCCTGAGAAAAGCTGGAGAGTTTTTTTTTTAATTTCAATACTTTATTTGGCTGCACTGGGTCTTAGCTGTGGCACTTGGGATCTTTAACCTTCATTGTGGCATTCAGGATCTTTTTTCAGTCTCGGCATGTGGAATCTAGTTCTCTGACCAGGGATGGAAGCTGGGCCCCCTGCATTGAGAGCACAGAGTCTTAGCCTTTGGACCACCAGGGAGGTCCCAGAAATATTTTTTTTTTAACTTGTTCCTTAAAGTGCTTTTCTTTTCCACCCAAACATTTATATCCATCTCTCCTCCCTGCACCCTGTGGCCAGATGTCTTTCTGGGTCTTTGATATAGAGAAGCTTTCCAAACAGAATTCAAATCTTCTAACTGGACCAGTTAGAATCCAAGTGTTGTTTACCACTTCCAAACATTTGGCCTTGTTTTTTCAAAAATACCATTTACTGGGGACTTCTCTGGCTTTCCAGTGGTTAGGACTCCGTGCTTCCACTGCAGGGAGCACAGGTTCGATCCCTGGTTGGGGAGCTAAGATCTTGCATGCCGTGTGGCAGAGTCAAAAAAATAATAATACCATGTACTGAAAAATTTTTTTAAATGTTTTGCAGTGATTCCATTTATTAACCTCTGGTGGTAGAAATCAGAACAGTGATTGCTTCTGGGGAGACTGAGAAGAGGCCCCAGGGAACTTTCTGGGCAGATGTAAACATTCTGTTTCTTGAGAAAGGTGCAAATTCCATGGGTGTCTGCATTTGTCAAAAAGAATCAAACTATTTACGTAAGATCTGTGTGATGCACTGTGTGCAAATTATATTTCAATAATTTAAAAAATGTAAAATAATACATGCATCTTATAAAAAATTTAGAAAATGATCCTACAGGGAAGTAAATAATAACTACCTGTAATTTCCTTATCAGAGTTATCATTTCTTCTCCATTTTTTCTTCTGATTATATCAGATTATACCAGTAAATAATACTATGCAAAGCTTTTTGTGTCCTGCTTTTTACAGTTAATGAATCATGTGCGTATTATTCGACATTCTTCAAAATCATGATTTTAAAGTATGACTTATGATATTTCTGTAACTGTGCCCTACTTAGTAGGACTTCCTGATTCATAATTTTTTTAAAAAAATTAGTAGGTCAAAGAACAGGTACAGCTTTATTGAGACACACTTTGTACATTATAAACTGCACATTTTGAAGGTGTACAGTTTGAGGGACTTCCCGGCTGTTTCAGTGGCTGAGACTCCATGCTCCCAAGGCAAGGGGCCTGGGTCTATCCCTGGTCAGGGAATTAGACCCCACATGCTGCAACTAAAGATCCCACATGTTGCAACTAAGATCTGGCACAGTCAAATAAATGAATTTTTTAAAAAAAATTTTTAAGTATACAGTCTAATGTTTTAACACCTGTATGCTCCTATGAAAGCATAGACACAGTCAAGTCATAAACCTCTCCACCTCCCTACAGGTCCCATTCAGGAAACCACTGATCTAATTTCTGTCTCTGCCAATTAGTTTACACTCTGTAGAATTTTATACAAATGGAATCGTACAGTTTGTATTTTTTCTTTGCTGCAAATTAGTTTTAATTATTTTTTAATTAAAGTATAGTTGATGTATAAGGTGTTGGTTTCAGATGTACAATAAAGTGATTTGGTTAAACATACATATAAATATATATGTTCTTTTTCAGATTCTTTTCCCACATAGGTGATACAAAAGATTGAGCGTAATTTTCTGTGCTATATAGTAGGTTCTGTTTTTTAAATTTAATTTATTTGTTTATTTTATGGCTGCACTGGGTCTTTGCTGCTGTGAGGGTTTTTCTCTAGCTGCAGCGAATGGGGGCTACTCTCTAGTTGCAGTATGTGGACTAGCTCATTGCAGTGGCTTCTCTTGTTGCAGAATACCAGTGTTTGGGTGCGTGGGTTTCAGTAGGTCTGGCTCCCAGGCTTGAGAGCACAGGCTCAGCAGTTGTGGCTCATAGGCTTAGCTTCTCCGTGGCATTTGGGATCCTCCCGGACCAGGGATCGAACTCGTGTCTCCCGCATTGGCAGATGGATTCTTTACCACTGAGCCACCTGGGAAACCCTCAGGTCACATAAGTACAATCAAATGATTAACTACCAAGGAGTGGTTTTAGCAAGGATGTGAGTTATTATGTTTCTCTCTGTGTTTGTAAATATCTTGTTGACATGAAATTGTGTACACTTTACTGAAACTACAAGCAGAATTTCCCAAATTACTCCTGGCCTCTGCCCTCTTCCACTCTCTCAGTCTTTCCCACCAATTCAAGCCAATTAAGCTGTTTAACTTTGTCCCAGTCACGCAATTCTGTTTTATAAAGAGCATGTTTTGTTTCGCTTTGGTTGCTTGTCTTCACCCGATCCGGGATCAAACCCATGCCCCTGCAGTGGAAGCCCAGAGTCCTAACCACTGAAAGCCAGGAAATTCCCAGTCACATGATTCTCAAATCTTCAGTTTTCACCTCTAAAATATAGGGATATATAGTTTATCGGGAATTATGTCCCTATAATATAGGGACAATACTGGCCTCTGTCTCATAAGGTTCTTGTGAGGATTCCCCACTGGTGGTTTAGTCACTAAGTCATGTCTGACTCTTCATGACCCCATGGACTATACCTCTCAGGCTCCTCTGTCCATGGGATTCTCCAGGCAAGAATACTGGAGTGGGTTGCCATTCCTTCCTCCAGGGAATCTTTCTGACCCAGGGATGGAACGGGTCTCTGCATTGGCAGACAGGTTCTTTACCACTAGCGCCACCTAGGAAGCCACATGTGGTGACAAGACTTGAGATAAAATCGTTGCCACCCTCCCCCCAAAGTTGGGGGCTTCTCTAGTGGCTCAATTGGTAAAGAATCTGCCTGCAATGCAGAAGACCCAGGTTCAATCGGGATGATCTCCTGGAGGAGGAAATGGCAACCCACTCCAGTACTCTGGCCTGGAGAATTCCATGGACAGAGGAGCCGGGCAAGCTACAGTCCATGAGATCGCAAAGAGTCAGACAGGACTGCGATGTTCACTTTCCCCAAAGTTGATGTTGAGTCCGAAGTCTTCTGTATTGTGATCTATCCGACTTCTTTTATTCCCTCTCAGATGAATTCAAGAAACTGGGAATCCAGTGCTTTTACCAGAACACTTCTCTGGTTGAATGCGCCAATGTGGTATTCCTCTGCTGCCTGCCATCTCAGCTGCCTAATATCTGCGTAGAAATTCAAACCCGGCTTGGGAAAGACTGCATTGTGTACAGCTTTGTCTCTGCCATCCCAGTATCCAGGTATCTTGTTAGGGTGAGCACAGGACTGGCAGGACCTCTCTGTCACCTCACATCCACCCCTGCCCCTACCTCTCGGAGTTGACCATTCCCAGTCATAAGGTGGAAGCATATTCATCGGCAGAAGGGCCCAAGCCAGCCTTTGAAATTGTGTCCTCCCCATTTTTCCACCAACAGCACTTGTGGATGGGACATTTTCTTTGATGTGCAAATGTTTAGAGTGGAAACAGAGCGTTGCTTCCACCTACTTGGGGCTTCCCCTGTGGCTCTGCTGGTAAAGAATCTGCCTGCAATGCAGGAGACCTGGGTTTGATCCCTGGGTTGGGAAGATCCCCTGGAGAAGGGAAAGGCTACCCACTCCAGGATTCTGGCCTGGGGAATTCCATGGACTGTATAGTCCATGGGGTCGCAAAGAGTCAGACACGATTGAGCGACTTTCACTTTCAACTGCTTGAAGTTGACTCGTGTTCCCTTGTATACGGGTCAGCAGCATGCAAGTTGATGGAGAGCATGTGTCAGATATCCTTTTGGTACGTCTAGTGCTGGGTCCAGCGCCTGGCTCGTGGTAACTTTCAATAAGTGTGTCTGGGAAGGATGGGTGAACTGTCTGGCTAAGGGGTTGTGCCCTCAGGGCTGACCCACACCTGCATTTGCCTCTGGGCTGCGCTGTGCAGCGGACTGTGTGGGTGGGGCTGGATGTGCCCTCCGTGGATCATGTGCCGGTTCATTCCAGTCCTGGCTCTGCACTCCCTGCCTGGATGGCTTTACTTGCAGGTTGAAACTCCTACTGAATCACACTAACATCTTGCGGCCCCAGTATCAGTGTGCTGAAGATCTTGCCCACATCTGGGGGGCCAATAAGGAGATCACCGCTGCTCTCCAAGACCCCGCGATTCTTCAGGCCACCTGCCCCTACAGCCCTGCTGGTAAGGGCTCACCAAATTTTTGGCACTTTTGAAAATTACCTTCCTCTTGACCTGTTGCTGTCTTATTAAATCCCGGTGTGATTGTGCTCAGGGTGTGTGTGGGGGACTAGATGGCATTCTCAGCTACTTAGGTTTTATATGGGAACAACTTTGGTGGCAAAAAGCAGCCTTTTTAGGGACTTCCCTGCCAGTCCAGTGGTTAAGACTTTGCCTTCCAAAGCAGGGGGTTCGGGTTCGATCCCTGGTTGGGGAGCTAAAATCCCATATGCCTCGTGGCCAAAAAAACCAAAGCATAAAAAACAGAAGCAGGGCTTCCCTGAAGGTTCAGTGGTGGAGAATCCATCTGCCAATGCAGGAGATGCAGGCTCAGTCCCTGATCTGGGAATATCCCACGTGCCGCAAAGCAGCTGCGCCCTTGTGCCACTTGTGAGCCAGTGCTCTAAACTCCGGAGCCAAAACCACTGACGCCTGAGTGCCCTGGAGCTCGTTTTCTGCAGCCAGAGAGGCCGCTGCAACGAGGGGCCCGTACATCACAGCTAGAGAGCAGCCCCCGCCTGCAGCAACTAGAGAAAAGCCCGCACACAAGCGAAGACCCAGCATGGCCAAAAATAAAATAAATTACAAATATATATGAAAGCTGAAAGCCGCTCAGTTGTGTCTGACTCTTTGTGACCCCGTGGACTATACAGTCCATGAAATTCCCCAGGCCAGAATCCTGGAGTGGGTAGCCATTCCCTTCTCCAGGGGTTCTTCCCAACCCAGGGATCAAACCCGGATCTCCTGCATTGCAGGTGGATTCTTTACCAGCTTAGCAACAGGTATATACATATATACAGAAGCAATATTGTAACAAATTCAGTAAAGTCTTTAAAAAATGATCCACATTTTAAAAGAATCTTTGAAAAAAAAGAATTTTTTAAAGAAGCAGGCTTTTTAAAGGAAAAGCTGAGAAGTGTGATTAATCAGACCCTCTAAGGATGAGTTGGAAATAGCCAGAGAGGAGAGCCTGTTTAAACAAAAGGATGCAGCCTCTGGGACCAAATGGCTTTTCCTGACTATAATCTTGCAGTGTGCCTTATTGCAAAGAACCATGCCACCGATTTCCCAAGATGCATTTGCCATTAGCAATGTCTGCACTAACCTATCTGCAGGTAGGGTCCACACATGGCGGGTTACAAAGGGCACACCCAGGCTCTCGGTCTGGCAAGGAAGAGTGTTTGCTTATGTCCAAGTCCATAGAACCACACTGTCTTGGATAGAAGGCAGCTGTCCTCTGTCTGGGGTTTGTCCGAGGTTCCCTATAGACATTTTTTGGTGGGCTCACTGGTGTTTTCTTCCTCACTGATGTTTAGGGGGAATAAGCCTCAACATCAAGTGGCTGGAGGGGATGTTCTATGCACTCTTAAACTTCTGCACAGCAAAGGACATGCCCCACTCACAAGTGCTGCAGCATCTGAGCGAACTGTTCTCCTCCCAGCACCTCGAGGCCTGTAAGGAGGACGAAGCAGCGCCCTTAAAATTTCAAGCCCAAGATTTTGTCAGTAAGATCTATGCCAAGAACCTGTCTCAGAAACGGTAAAGTATCAGACGGTGGCCATTTGAACTTCTCCCACACTGTTGTCTTAGCAGATGCTTTTAATATTTTTTCCTTTAATGTTCTTTTTAAAAATTCATAAAAATAATACATTCTTAGGAAAAAAAATCCAACTAGTGGAGAAATGAGAGCCCTCTTTTGCCCCCCAATCCCTTTTTATAGACTTCACCTCTAATCACTTTTATATTTTTGTCTTTTCATCTATGTATTTACAAACATATATGTATATTAGCATTATAGTATAATGTGTATGCATATCTTTATCTATATATACATTTTAGAAACATGGATACTATAGTTACTATGTCATAGGTATTGTTCTGTGTTAGTACAATAATATGTACTTCATTTATGAGGATAGTGTAAACATCTGTTGGATACATTTCTTTTTTTTTTAATTTATTTATTTTTAATTAGAGGATAACTGCTTTACAATATCATGTTGGTTTCTGCCATATATCAGCATGACTCAGCCCTAGGTATACATATGTCCTGGTGGATATGTTTCTTTAACTGCATTTATTTATTCTATTTCCTCTTAATGGCATTGTACCCTGGCCCCACATTTTTGTATAAAAGAACTGCTTTGAACATTTTTATCTTTAAACTTTGCACATTTGTACCAGTAGAATTTCTGGGTCAGAGGTTATATATATTTTATGTTTGATAGATATTCCTAAATTACCTATCAAAAACATGATGCTTACTTATATTTCCAGCAATAGTGTATGAGAGTGCCATTTCACTATAGTTTCGTAACTATTAGATCATTCTTTTTAATCTTTAATAATCTAATGGAGACAAATGGTTGCCCTTGTTACCAGAGACTTCCATGTCACTAAATTCACTGGATACTTTTTTTTTATTTAAAAGAATAGATTTTATTTTTTTTAGAGCAAGTTGAAGTTTACAGAAAAATTGAGCAGACGGTTCAGAAAGTTCCCATAGAGCACCTGCCTCCTGACCTGCAGTTTCCCCTACAACCCCCTAGCGTTCATGTGGCGAGTTATTATTCCTAAAGTCCAGAGTTTATGGGATTCACAATTTTCTTGTTAATTATGGTAAAATACACATAACATAGAATTTACCATTCTTTTTTAAAAGTGTTTATTTATTTTGGCCACACTCACTCACAGCCTTTGGGATCTTAGTTATCCAACCAGGGACTGAACCTGAGCCACCTATAGTAGGAGCATGGTCACGGGACATTTCTAAATCCTTTTCTTCCCTGGCTATTGAACATACCATCCTTCCTGAAACAATCACTTCTCTTAGTTTTCCTGATACACTCACATGCTCTTCATTTTCCTCCTGTCCCTTTATCCTGCTTTTGCCAGGTCCTCTTCTGCCCCATCCTTAAATCCGGGAGCTTCAGGGCTCTGTCAGAAGCCTTCTTTTCTCAGCCTACACTTTGTTTTGGGTGATCTTTTCCACTGTGGGGACTTAGGTTGCCATCTTTACTCTGCCAGCACAGGACTCCTACCTGCCTTGCCTAGATGTCAGTTCCGCATCCAGGTAAGTTAACACTCACTATCTCCACTGAAACTTAACATGTCTAAAAGCATCCCTGCTCGCATGCCTGCCCTTCGAGTGTTTCTAATTACACGTTCCTTGGAAGAGTTGTTCAGCCCGAAACCTGGAAGAAATCCTTGATTCTCCCCCTTGCCTGCTCCCCTTCTCTTTGGGCTCTGCTGGGTCTTCGCTGCGGCAAGTAAGCTTCTCGAGTTGCATTGCATGGGCTCAGCTGCCCTGCAGCATGGGGATCTTAGTTCCCTGACCGGGGATCGAACTGTGTCCCCTGCATTGGAGAGTGGATTCTTACCCCCTGGACCACCAGGGACGGCTCTTGTGTCTTGGATTCTAATCAGTCACTAGTGACCTGTGACACTTTCAGCTTGGGACTCTGCCTCCCGCCTTTGCCTAGGACTCCCTTGGCCTTTCTCTTATGTCGGAGCTCTTTTTCCTGGACCCCTCCTCTGGCTTCATCTACTTCTTCATATGATGGAATATGCTCTCCTGCGCTAGCTTCTTTCATAAAGGCTGTGTAGTAATTTCTAAGGACTATGTCTGACAATGTTTTTATTCTACACTAATATTTTATTGAAAACACAGCCAAGGTGTAGAATCGAGGTTAGCAGTAATTTCCCTCAGAGTTTTGAAGGTAGTGCTCTGTCGTCTTTCAGCTTTTAGAGTTGCTGTAGAGAGGTAGAGTGCCATTCTAATTCTTCAGTTCATTTTTGGTATGAAACCTGCTTGTTTTCTCTCTGGAAGCTTATAGTATCTTTTGCTGTCAGCATCCTGAAATTTTATTATGTGTCATGATGTAGGTCTATTTTAATTCACTGGATTGGACACTTGATGGGCCTCTCCCTTTTTTTCCCTTAACTTAAAAAAAAAGAATTGTACAATATAACATATACACAGAAAACTATGTATTCCATAAATTCATGAATATACAGTTTAATGAGTTATTGTAAAGCAAATATACACGTAATTGCCACCCATGAAAGAAACAGACTATTCAATGGTCATTTTCAATCTGCTTGTTAAGTTCTCTGATTTTCTCCAGATATGTCTTTGATAATTTCCTCCCATTCCCTGTTTCCTCTTTTCTTCCTTCTGAATATTTTATTAGCCCAGTGTTGGATCTGCTGGGCTGATCTTTTGATTTTTTTTTAGTTCTCCTATTTTCAGTATTTTTGTCTTTTTCCCCTGCTTTCTGAGAGATTGCCTCAACTATCTTGCTTTTGTTTTCGCTACTATATTTACAACACATTTTCATTTTCAAATATTTCTTTAGTCTCCAAATATTCCTTTTTTATGTAGCATCCTGTTGTCATTTTCCTATGCAATACCATTTCTTATCCTTTGAGAATGTATAGAGTTTTTTTCTCTTCTGAGAAGTCTGTTTCCTTTGGAAGTTTTCTGATCATTTGTTTTGTTCTCCATCATTCATTCTAGAGTTTTTCTTTCAAGTATATGGAAAACCTTGACTGTCTGCTCATATTTAAGATCCCGGTTACTGAAAAGTTGCTTGGATACTCTGTGTTTGCTACCATGGCCTCTACTGTAGAGTGATTTGATCAGCTTTTCCTTCAGTTCAGTTCAGTCGCTCAGTCATGTCCAACTCTTTGCGACCCCATGGACTGCAGCACGCCAGACTTCCCTGTCTATCACCAACTCCTGGAGCTTACTCAAACTCATGTCCATTGAGTTGGTGATGCCATCCAACCATCTCATCCTCTGTCGTCCCCTTCTCCTGCCTGCAATCCTTCCCAGCATCAGGGTCTTTTCAAATGAGTCAGTTCTTTGAATCAGGTGGCCAAAGTATTAGAGTTTCAGCTTCAACATCAGTCCTTCCAATGAATATTCAGGACTGATATCCTTTAGGATGGACTGGTTGTATCTCCTTGCTGTTCAAGGGACTCTCAAGAGTCTTCTCCAACACCACAGTTCAAAAGCATCAATTCTTTGGCGCTCAGCTCTCTTTATAGTCCAACTCTCACATCCATACATGACCACTGGAAAAACCATAGCTTTGACTAGATGGACCTTTGTTGGCAAAGTAATGTCTCTGCTTTTTAATATGCTGTCTAGGTTGGTCATAAC